GGTGGAGCAGAAATAGGAAGGAGGCTGGAGTGGCTAGTGAGATGATTGCCAAGTAGAGACTAGAGGACTGATCCAATACATATTTTGGAAGCAGAAATGATAGGGTTTGGCGATAGTTTGGGTGTGATGAGGGCTGAGAAACCATGAGATACCTGGGATAACTCACAGGTTTCCCCAAGTGAGCAGTGAAATGGGATGAGATGAATGAGAAACCTGGAGCAGCAGTGCTGAGAGGAAAGATCCCAGGTCACCTAGTTACAGTTAACAAGTAGAGATGTCAAATTAATAACTAGAACGGGATGGAGATATAAAAAAAGAAGTCAGCATCAAAAGGGTTTTGATGACACATGATTCTGCGCTGTAAGTATTTACCCTCAATAATAAATAACACAAACGCAAAAAAAATCTAAAATAAATTTGAAAGATTCTGTGGAGCAACAGCTCATAAATACCATAGTAGCTGAAGCCACTGTGTATCTGAAAACGTAGAGCAACAGTGTAACTAAACATTCATACTCAAAATAATCCTCTTGCAGGAAATGATAGAGAATCACTTGTCTATTGTGTTCACTTGCTGTATGCTCCACATCTAACATAGCACATGACACATAGTGAGTGTTAAAATATCTACTGAAGATATATACCCACTACTAGGCAGAATAACCACCCAGCAAAAAAAGGACAAATAGTGCAAATAACAAGCAATTGTGCAAGGAAAAACTCTGTACTATGAAACATACAAATGTACTAGAGCAAGGACATTTCTCAGGGAAAAAGGAAAATGAGCTATTTACGCTATCATACCCTAATAGTATCAGAGCTAGATTCTGTTCCTAAGAATCAGCTTAATTTCAATACCAGAAATTCCATCCCTAGACAACCAATGCTCACCATTCCCTATTATCCCTAGATATGAGAAAGAATTAAAATGTAATAAAAGTTTGATATTTGAAGCTATAGTAAAGTCTCATCTAGGTTATTAAAACAAACAAAAGAGATTAGAAGGAATTTTATTAAAATAAAAATGGCAATTACTGATGATTTTTCTTTATTCCCTTGTTCACAAAAGTCATACCAATACATAGGAGAAAATTCAGAAAATGCCCACAGACACAAACAAGAGCCCATCACCCAGAAGTAATAAACCACTTTCAACATTTTGCACAGAACTTTTTCTGTGCATACATGGGGGTAGAGAGTAAACAGTGATTCACAACTAATCATGTAATTGTTTTAGACTATGAAGATTACAGAATGCTGCTATGGCTAGCGTACAGTATTGAGGGAAGACTAACCTGAAGTAATAACTGAGCTAAGTAAGCTATCTGAAGGATGAGATGGAATTAACCAAAGAAGTGCAGGTCAGGGTAGCAGTCAAGGCAGAAGGAACAAGAATGTGAGCAGGGCACCAGCCCCACCTAGCCAGGAAATCGGGGAGAAAGTTTTGGTGGAAGGAGGAGATTGGCTGGGCAAAGCCTTACTGAGAGAGCTGAGAGGACTTGATCCGCAGGGGAAGAAGGATGGGATTGTTCCAACTGCTTATGTGGGGAAAGGATTAGGCCCTGCAAGTGCAGACTTCTGTGATCAGCATCTTCTCCCAAAGGGCATGGAGGGTGGGGAAACAAGAATCTTTGGGGGTGTGCATTACAATATTTTAAAGACAATAATACAATATTTTAAATTTATATTTTAGGTTCCACAAAACCTTCTAGATTGGTAGCAAGTGAAGAAAAACAGTGACTTTAACTCTTGCACAACTCCCAAGAAATTCATATTAGAAATGGAGGTGGGGGGGTGCCTGAGTGGCTCAGTCATTAAGCATCTGCCTTTGGCTCAGGTCATGATCCCAGCATCCTGGGATCAAGCCCGGCATCGGGCTCCCTGCTCTGCGGGAGGCCTGCTTCTCCCTCTCCCACTCCCCCGGCTTGTGTTCCTTCTCTTGCTGTGTCTCTCTCTGTCAAATAAATAAATAAAATCTTTAAAAAAAGAAAAAGAAAGAAATGGAGGTGGGCAGAGGAGCACTGAATATTCATAATAACAAAAAATAATATAAATTTCAAAAGACTGAAAGACCTGCATTAGACACTGAGTTTAATGATAGTATGGAATATACCTGTTTTATCACCATATCTCTAATAAATATATAACAAATTAGTACCAAGGAAATAATCATTTGCTTTATGAAGAAAAACTGGGCTAATATAAAGGGATGATCTTAAAGACATCCAGACAAGAAAAACACATCACTATCCACAGGACAAAGCCCCACACAAAGACTTCTGGCCTCTAGAGAAATGGACTTGGTGGTGGAGCAGAATAGGTCCCTCAAAGGCCTAGAGAGAATAGGTCCCTCAACACTAACTATCCCTCCTTCACCCATCTATTCACTCAAGAAAAAAGGTTTAACCCAGCAATTCCACTACTAGGCATATATCCAAGAGTAAAGAAAACACACATACACACTAAAACTAATTCGTGAATGTTCCTAGCACATTATTCAAAATAGCCACAAAGTATAAACAACCCAAATGCCCATCAACTGATGACTAAACAAAAAGTGATATATCCATACAATGGAAGACAAGTCAGCCATAAAAAGGAATAAAGTACTGATAGATGCTACAGGATGGATGAACCTTGAAAACATCATGCTAAGTGAAAGAATCCAGTCACAAAAACCCACAAATTATATGGTTATACTTATTTTTTTTAAAGATTTTATTTATTTATTCATGAGAGACAGAGAGAGAGGCAGAGGGAGAAGCAGGCTCCCCAGGGAGCAGGGAGCCCGATGCGGGATTCCATCCCAGGACCCCGGGACCATGACCCGAGCAGAAGGCAGACGCTTAACCATCTGAGCTACCCAGGCACCCTATATGGTTCTACTTATATGAAATGTCTACAACAGGCAAATCTATTGAGACAGAAAGCAGATTAGTCATTGCTTGGGGCTAAAGGGGGTGGGAGCGAGAGGGACAATAACTGCTAATGGGAACAGGGTTTCTTTGGAGATGATAAAAATGTTCTAACATTGATTCTGATGATAGTTGCACAATTCTATGCACATACTAAAACCACTGGATTTTACACCTTAAATAGGCGGATTATATGGTATGTGAGTTATATCTTAATAAAGCTATTATTTAAAAAGAGAGAGGATATTTTAGCATCCCCAGATATTATGGTAAATTGCTAGAGATACAGCAAAGGAAAAAAAAAAAAAGAACCTGTTCTCAAAGCCCTAACATTCTAAGGGGGGGGGGGGAGCTAGTCAAGATATAATGACAAAACAATGAAAAAAAGAAAGAAAAGAAATCAGACTACCCAAGGTTAGTTAGGCACCTAACTTAGTCCTGGGTGATTCAGAAGGTGTCAAGTAGAGAACTCGAAATACCAAATTTTCACCCTTTATTTGAAATTTAAATCTAAATAACTTTTTAAAAATTATGTACCTGTTCAGCTTCTTAAAATCTTCATTCTTATAGAAAGTTAATAATAGATTTTTTAAAAGCATTTGTGCACCTACAAGGTTTAAAACCTGTATTTTTAACTTTAGACAAGCAACCGATTTAAATGTTAAAACAAAACAAGTCTCCGATTTAAATTGTACTGTACTACCAAGTTCGTGGAGTGTTGTAAAGACTGTGTGCAAACTTTTCATAACGCCTTAAATTGGGAGAAAGAGGGCCTAAAAAACCGAACAGCCGTGTAATACATTCCAAAACAAAGCATGGGGGGTTTGGAAGAGACCAGCAAGGCAAAATTTGAGTAATGATCGCAAAGGAGAACCAAGTGTTTCAAAGCAAAAATGGACCTTTAAGAATTAAAGCCACTAATTTTCAACCACAACACTTCGAAATTATATTAGTAACTGTTACCATAGAAACGGTGAAGCCGAATTTCCCAAGATTAAAAATAAAAATTACAGCAAATTCAAGTAGGTGAAATAGGTCAAAACTTGGTCCGAACCTAGGTGGAACTGAGCCTACCAGAAAGAAACCTTCACCGAGATAAGGGTGAACCAACGCCAACTTCTACATTTCCAAAGCAGGTTTGATAAACCGCCTTGAAGGGTAATTTACCAAGTGCTAAAAAAAAAAAGTTTGCCCTCTCTTTTCCTGGAGCAGAAACCTTACAACACCCCTCCTGGGCTTCACCCACAACCAAAGCCAGCCCGTGCAGACCTGCACCGGGCAGTTTAGGGGAAGACTGGCTCAGAGTTCACCCGGAAAGCATCTGAATCCAGCCCTGCTGGTTTCATTGGCTAAGCCTGGAGGAAAAACCCAAGCTCGAACCCGGAGCCCCAGCCTGCCTGCCTCCCTCCTCCACATCCCCACCCTACGCCACGTCCAGTGCGTGCCGGGCATTCCACGCGAAGCGATCCAACTCATTTATTAAGCTCCCACTGTCTACACCGCATCGTGGCTTCAGGCACTGCAGGAAGAAATGGCCTCTTGCCGGAAAAACCAAAAGGACAGCACGGGGGCTGCGGACGAACCCGGGAGAGAGGCTGCCTGCCTGCAGCGAGGTGTGCTGGAGAGGAGTCCCCGCCTTCACTCCCCCGGGTCGTGACAGTTCCAGAGAAGAGATGGCACCGAGGGCGCAGCAGGCCGTGCCTCCCTGGAGTCCGCCACAGACCAGGCTGGAAGAGGAATGGAAAGGAGTCGGCATCCCTGGACCACCCGCGCGCTCCTCTGCCCCAAGGAGCGCGACCCAGACTTCGGCCCCCGGGAGAACGGCGAGCACGGGGACCGAACCCCCGAGAGGGCCGGAGCGGACTGTCACTGGCTCCCTCTTCCCTCCGCTGCGACTATGGCCGGCCGCTCTCTCCCTAGCATGACAGCGGCGGCGGTCGGGTACCAAGCGTCTCGCGCCCCGCGTCTCCGCTGCCACGGCCGCCGGCACCCCCAGCGGCTCGGAGCAGAGGGGACAGTGCCGAGAAGACCGCCCGAGCCCCTCCCCCACCATCCCTATCGCCCAGACTCCGGAAAAGCGGTTACCTGGCGCGCGGGTGGGCACCGGGATACCACCCAGAGGAGGAAGATGAGGAGGAAGATGAGGAGGAAGAGGGTGGCCTCCGGCCCACGGAGATTTGGGAAATTTGGAAGATTTGTTCCGCACTGGGGTGACAGCTGTTCGCTGCGCACGCGCACCGGCCCCCAGACGCCTGATCACTCCGCCGCTCCTCACCCTCCCGTCGAGGGGATGGGAGGCAGCGGCGAAGGCGCGCGCACAGCGCCTGCCGGCTCTCCCTGCGCGGGGGCGCGCGCGTTGTCACGTGACCACTGGGGCCCGCACTTAGTGGGTCACGTGAACTTCCAAACAGTTTAAAGATGCCCGGCACCTTGCTTTGGGATTAGTTTTCCGTGCTGTTCTTAATCTAGGTTTGCTGTCGTGCATCTTGTTCTCTGGGGAGGGGCATGTGCACTCTTTCCCAGAGGGGAAGACACTTAAGGAGAAGGAAGGAACAGGTGCACAGAACCTTGCCCGGAAGTGCCTACCGGGTTCCCGCAGGGCTGGACCTGATAGAGTCCACGCGCCACACGTCGTCCTGGGCCCCGACGCGGGCCTATGGCGGACTCCGGCGCGCGGACGTCAGAGTGGCGTTGCCATGGGTGGGGCTTCGGAATGCCCTGCGGAGCCTGGCTAGGATGTCCGGGCTCGCTGCTGGGCAGCAGGGACAGCGTCTTACTGGCCGGGGCTCCTGCGCCTCTCAGCAACAATGGGAGATCCCGAGTGGGCCAAGGGGTCCACCTGCCAGCCTTTTAACTGTCAAGCAAAAGACCGTGTTCTTTGACTAGAAGAGCGAAACTGTCCCATATTCCAAGCACCTAGGTGGAGCATGGCCCATCCAGGTGTGCGCTGGAGCTGAGGAGAACCGAGGGTGGCCCCAATAGGAATCGAGGCTCGGTAGCTCTCAAAAACTAGGGACTGACAGCAGTTTTGGCCGGAATTGTAGTAACAGGAAGTGCAAGTGTCTCCGGACCCCTGAGAACGTACTTAAATTAGCTTGCTACTACTTATTACTTCTGTGCTGTAACTCCGCCTTCCAAGGTGTCAGAAGGAACCACAGAGACCTTAAACCTTTGTACTGCCAAAGACAGATGGCTAACACCAGATGTTTTGCAAAGCTCAACAATTTTTTTTAACTTCCTGCAGAGTACCCAGCTGGGTCCCTTGTAGCGTCTCCCCTAACGGCCTCTTAGCTAAGACTACTCAGATCATTACACTCCTGAGCACACTTGAACTGTCTAATATGCTGAGCTTCCTATTACAATCCACTGATTTCTGCTTTTTAAAAATATCTCAACAGGTCCACTTACCACACCCTTGAAGTCTTTTCTCTCTGGGAAGAGCATATCGAGGTCAGATGAAATGTGGTTAAGTAAGGCTAATGGGATTATTGGTCCACCACATTTCTTTAGTTATTAAATTAGAAACAAGGTTTATGCTCTATTACCCATATACACGTCTGAACTTGCCTAATATATATACTCAAATGAGTATTTTCCAAATGTGTATACTATTAGGATCCCAACCCTCCTTACAAGTCAGTTGGATATGCTAAAACAATAAATACATAACCCAACATTTATTTAGAGCTTACTGTGAGCTTGACACTGTTTTTAAGTGCCTCACAAATATTAGCTAAATTTATCCTTATAATAATTCAATGGCTAGGTATTATTATTATCTCATTTTAGATATTAAAACTGAAGTATACAGGTTAAGAAATTTGTCAAACAGCTACTAAAATCCAGGGTACTTAGGAAGCCATATGCTGTATTAGACTGGCAACCTGGTATACCAGGATAAAAAGTCTGGAAATCTGAATTCCAGTCACTTTACAGTTACACAAATAATGTTTGTTAAGAGCAGTAAATCAAATATCAGAGCTTTTTTAAACTGAAAAATTAGGGTAACATACCAGCCTTGCTGACCTCAAGCGTGTTGAACATCAAAGAAGATAATGTAAAATGTCAAAACACTTAAAAAGCTGGAAAGCAACTGTGAATTTATTAGCGACTTTACAGTTTGGGAAATTGGAAATTGAACTGGAAATCAAATGTATTCATGGCAGTGTTGAGTCCCTAAAGTATCAAATACCTGTATATTGTGAATTACAATGATAATTAACAATTTAGCCATATAGTAGATTAATTTATTTAGGTCCGGTTAAAAACTCCAATTACAATAAGATGGAGTTCTATAGTGGATACAAAGATTTCCCTTGAAGCTTATATGTTATGTGAACTACTATTTAGATCACTTCAGAGACAAGAGTTGTAAATTTCTTTATAATGCAGCAAATTGATACACTACTAAATAATATCTAATTTTGAATATACTGAAGTCCATTTCACTTTTGCAAATAGAAGGAATTAAATAATAGTAATGCTCATTAATATTTATATTTATCCTATCATATATGTATGTTATTTATACAGGTATAATACAAACTGCAACCAATAATTAGATGTTTAGATGCTGTTTTAAAGAGTCATGGTGAACGTGAAAGTAAATAATAAAATAGAAACCTTGGTGCCTGTTCTTCTCTATGTCCTGTGCTGTGAGTTTAGGCCAATTTATCTCTTACCTGGATTATTATAGTATAATAAATGATTATAATATAATGGATTAATATTACATAATTCTCCTAATGATATCCCTACCCCCAGTGCTTCTTCACTCACCCCTTTCCCCTCCAACTCATCTTATGTAGTGCAAGCCAAAATTATCCTCCGGATGTAAAAACTGAATCATGATTCTATCCAATTGAAACACTTCATTAATTCCCCATTATTATCAAAGCTTTTCAGACTTGGCTGAGAAGAGTATGGTGGCCAAGGGTATACAAATAGACTTTGAGGTGACTCAAGCCTCTTATGTAAGCACAATATTCAATCAGTTTGGATACCATTATATTTGTGTTTTAATATCAGAAAAATAACTAAAATTACTTAGCAGTTAAATTATTTAATTTTCCTATCAAAATATTTGAATAAAATTAAAGAGGAGACATGTCTAGTTCTCCCTGGGCCATTGCCCTAAATTTGCATGTGTGTGTGTTTGGGAGGGTGGGTGTCAGGGGAACAGGTGAGGTACTTTATGGTTTTCACATCAAGGAAAACATTGGAAATGATTTATGATACCTGAATCATAACACCATTTAAAAACTATTCATTTTAACAAATAAAAGTAAAACTGTAAACATAAGCTTAAGTTGCAAACTCTGAGTTAGTTGTTAGCTTCAATCAATCCTCATTACTATTATTATTATTGCCATTTATTATTATTTGTACTATGTTTTATGGATAGTGATACAGCTATGAACTGGACAGATGTGGCCTTGCCTTCACTGAGCACACAGTCAAGCCAAAATGAGAACCAACAATACACAACCAAAACATGGCTAAAAATAAAAAGACAGAAACAAACATTTGGTGATGATGTGGAGAAACAGAAACACCAATGGAAATACAGATATCATATGCATCCAAGACATGTAGAAGAAAATTTGTAGCAGCATTAATTGTGAAATCCCAAACTGAAAACCACCCAAACAGCCATCAACAGAATGAAGATATAAATGCTTGTATATTTATACAATGGAAACTAAACAACAATGAAAATAAATGAACTACTGCTATCTAAAATAGAATGGCTAGGGTACTTGGGTGGCTCAGTTGGTTAAGTAGCTGCCTTCCGCTCCAGTCATGATCCCAGGGTCCTGGGATCCTGGGATCAAGCCCCACATCGGGCTCCCTGCTCACTGGGGAGTCTGCTTTTCCCTCTACCCTCTACCCCCTGCTCATGAGCTCTCTCTCGCTCTCTCTCTGTCTGTGTGTCTTTCTCTCTCAGATAAATAAGTAAAATCTTTAAAAAAATAAATAATGAAATAAAATGGCTAAATCTCACAAACACAGCGTTAAGTGAAAGAAGCTAGACACAAAAGAATACATGATGTATGATTCATTTACATAACATATAAAAATAGATAAAACTATTCTATCGTGTTAAAAGTCAAAGTAATGGCTATATTTGAGGAGGAGAAAGGGGGCAGAGCAACTGGGAAGGAAGAGGTGGGGAACCTCTGGGATGCTGGTTATGCTCTATTTTTTTACCTTGATGACAATAATTGTAATAATTCATCAAGCTGTATACTTAGGATGTATGCACTTTTGTATGTATGACATTTAAAAGACTTTTCAAACATTAGTATGTTAATTTTTGTATATTTTTTGTATCAACTTTCTTACTCACCTTTTGACAAATGGACCACCCAAGTTGATTTAACCTGATAAACTAAAAGGTAAAACTTATGGACCTTCCCCTTCCTTTTCCATAACAATTTTTGTAGTATTGGAAGAGGAAAACTTGAAGACAAAAACAAATGGATGGGAAACTGAGCTCCTTTTTCCTTTTGGTCCTGTTGACCCTTAAGATTTTAAGTAACTGGAAAAAAAAAAAGAATGTCAGTAACTGAAAGGGTTTTTTTCTCTTTTTAACTCTTTGTTTCTTTTAGGTGGATATTTTCCCTTTTTTATCAGGGTTGTCAATAACTCAGAAATGTAACACTCTATTACAATAATTTTGTTAGCATAAGTAATTTTTTTAGCTTTTCCAGCCATGTTACAAACATACTATTATTTCAAATCCTTTTCAGCTGCAGGCAAAGACTATATTAAAAATTTAAAAATATAAAAGGGATGATTTTGTAAATAATTTCTTCACCTTAGTTTGTTGAAATCATTTCAGATAGTAAAGAAGGCAGCAGGTCCATTTATGATAGCATATGATAATGCCATCTGTGTGTTAACCAATTGTGTTAGTCTGTAGACCAGAGGGTTTACTGGGGAGATGTGTTGGCTTACATTGAAGCCCCAGGACAAAATTATCTGGAGTAATAAGTATCTTATCACATATTTAACCATTAAACACCATATAATTTCCAGTATATTGAACCAATGGATTCCAGTGTATTAAACCAATCTATAGAGAAGACCTATTAATTACCTCATTCAACTTTTATTGAAATGTGCTAGGAAATAGTATTCTTTTATGAATTATAGAAAGGAAATGGTTTATTTGGTGGAGAAATTATTGTGACTTCATCCCAATCAGAATCAAAACAAATTCTAATGGTTTGTTAATGCATGCATATACTTCGTTTCATTTTTTCAAAGGTTAATTCTTATTTCTCATAAAAAATTGTTTTGGGGTCTTCAGCAAGTTAATCTTAAATGAAAGACAGGCTGCTTTTGTTTATATGCTTATATATCTTTTAAGTACTTACTACCACTTTGGAAAACTGGCATTACCTGCTTAAATTGAACATATGCATACCCTGTGACCTAGTAATTTCTCTCCCAGGTATATACCTACAGAAATGCATGTATATATGCATCAAAACACATATTAAGAGCAGCATTATTTGTAATTACCAAAAACATATTACTAAAGATAAAAGGTGGAAGTCAATGTTTATAGCTGTAATAACCACAGAACAAGTCCATTATTTCAGGTAGAGGCCACGTATGTTTATCTCAGGCCTGCAGTGGAGGCCTTCCATGAATAAGGATAGAAGTAAAGTTTTATGCTCACGAAGTGGAGGAAAGGTGGTTCAAACTGACCAGGAGGAGATAGAAGTCCTGCTGGTGGTAGTTTGTGATGGGCATACCTGAGAAGGGTTGGGATTTGTACCAGAGTCAACCAAGCTAACCATCGTGGTGGATGGGGAGGAGT